CTTTCATAACTTGGCCTTTGCTCTGCCTGTCTTGTCAGTCTCATTTCTTGCCACATCCACCCATTTCATGCCTTACATTCCACCCAGGAATCTTGAGAAACTTACTTAACTCCAGGATCAATTTCTTCACCTACAGAATGGGAATAATAGTAATATACTGTACCTCTCAAGGTATGGGAAGAAATAAGTTATCACATGTTAAATGCTTAGGATAGTACCTTGTAGATAAAGAGGCCAAAAGTCTCACCTATTACCGCTGCCATCTCTAGATTCCCTATTCCTTCTGCCTAGAACAAACCGTCTTATGTCTCTTCTTTTCCTGAGGTCTAGGCTTAGCCAACTTCTCTGGGAAAGCCTTTCCTGACCCTCCAAAGCCAAGTTAGTTACCATCCCTCCATGATCTCATGGTACTTGTCCCTGTCAAAATACTTCTCACATTCCCTGTTTCCTTTCCTGTCTCTTTTTCCTTTCCCCACCAGGCTGTATACATCAAAATCCCCAAGTTTAGTACCATGCATAGCATGCTTAATAATCATTCAGTAAATGGAAAACTTTGCAATAATGAGATGCCCAATTAAAGAGAATCTCAACAGGTAACCAATTCAACTGCTGGCCAGATGGCTGGCTGGTCTACATGACTTTAAAGCCCCTGAACTATAAGATTCTTTCCAATAAACAATTTAGCACACTCTGACCTCATTATCACACTTAGGGGTTTAGACTTTAATATGTAGGAAATATTGGGCCATCAGATTTTTTAAGGAAAGCGCAACATGATCAGATCTGTGTGTTGCCCTATTTCCCATCTCTAGAACACTTCACACACCTCCATTGGTATCAGGACAAAATTCCAACTACCCTTCACAAACATAAACACCACATCCCACCCCAAATACACAGACATGAAAACAGGAAATTTTGAGAGGCTAAATACAGCATTTAACTCCATCTTAACCACCTGCAAGGAATGAGGATCCATAAACACCATCTCGGAACCCAAAAGCTAATCCCTCGTGTGCCTTTATGGAAAGAGGCAAACAATAGAGAGCATTTCATAAAAGTAATCCATTTAACCATCCAGTATGTCTGATCCGAACTGCTGTCATAGCACCATTATTCATGATCACTGCAGCTCCATAGACCAAACCTTGGATAGTCAGAAAGGCAGGTGCAAATAAGGCAAGGGTGGTTCTATTTCAAGGGTAGAAGGTCTCTTTGGAAGATACAGGAGTGAGCATAAATCTCAAAAAATGCCCTGGCCGGTTTGGCTCAGTGGTTAGAGCGTCGGCCTGCAGTCCAGAGTGACCCAGGTTCGGTTCCCGCTGAGGGCACATGCCTCGGTTGCAGTTTGTCCCCAGCCCTGGTTGGTCGGCACTGGTTGGTCGTGTGGGTGGCAGCCACTCAGTGTGTCCCTTTCACATCGGTATTTCTCTCTCTCTCTCTCTTCCTCTCTCTCCCTCCCACCCTACCTGAACAAAAAATGGAAAAAAAGAATGTCTTTGGGTGAGGATTTAAAAAAAATCTCAAAAAAATGCTTCAGTGATAAGGAACTTCAATCCACAATGTGGGCGGGAAAGGAGGAGGAAGCTTAACCAGAGGTACGAGCAAGCCTGGGTTCCTGTTCTTGGGCTGCATGCCACACACCCTGCTGCAAATTCAGACTAATAATCATGTTGCATTTTCAGAGTACCCCGAGGTTAAGGGAAGCACTAAGAGTACCAGTGTTGCCAATCACAAAAGGACGAATATTGTATGATTCTACTTATAAGAGGTACCAAGAGCAGTCAAACTCATAAACACAGAAAACAGAATGGTGGTTGCCAGGGGCCGGTGGAAAAGGGGAATAGGGAGTTAGTGTTTAATGGGTACAGTTTCAATTGGGTAAGACAAAAAATTCTAGATGGACGGTGGTGATAGTTGCACTAGAGTGTAAATGTACTTAATGCCACAGAATTGTACATTTAAAAATGGTTAAAATGGTAAAATTTATCTTATGTATATTTGCACAAAATAAAGCACACCAGCTTTATTTTCTTTATCCTCATGCGAGGACATATTTGCATTGATCTTCAGATACAGCGGGAGGAAGAGAGAGAGAGAGAGAGAGAGAGAGAGAAACATCAATGTGATAGAGACACATCGACTGGCTGCCACCTGTACAACCCCAGGGACGAACTGCAACCGAAGTACGTGCCCTTAGCGGAAACCGAACCCAGGACTCTCTGGTCCGCGGGCCAATGCTCTAACCACTGAGCCAAACCAGCCAGGGCTAAAGCACACCAACTTTAAAGTTAGTGTCTACACTCATCAACTACATGACCCTGAGAAAGTCATGTCTTCTTCTGTAAAACAGGGATAATAATAGTATCTACTTCATACAGTTCTAAGAGTTAAACAAGATGCTCCACAGAAAAGTCCTTAGTCCACTGACTGGCATATGTTAAGTACTTAATAAATATTAGCTACTATTCCTACTACTCGTAACTACTACAGTGCACTTTCACAGCCATTTTTCAGTCTATACACAACCCTGTGAAAATTCACATATAAGGAAACTGAGGCTCAGAGAGCCACATGAGAGGCTTAGTTCATGATTTTACATCAAATCCTCTACCCAGGAGAGGTGTCCTGTCCTTGTCACTTATCAATTCAGTGATATAAGTAAGGCAAGTGCCCTTACCTTGCTGTGTCTCAATTCTCAATGATAGTTGTAAAAACTCTTAACTCCCTTACAGATTAGACTGGATTAGAAATAAAATCACATAACAGTTACAGAAGAGTACTATAAAGTACTAGACAATAAAAGTGGTGACTTATGGGAACTAGCATTGTACACAAAACTTGGCTTCCTTCTGATGCTAAAACTGAGGCATGGAGTGGTGCTGGGACTAAACAACTTCCTTGTGATTTCAATGTACTCAGGAATCCTGGTCTGAAGGCCTGCATAAATAATTTAGTGCCCTTTCAAAAGATAGTAAGGCATGTAGAAATAAAAATATTACTGGACTGAGAAGCAGAAGAATGGGAATTTTAGTTCTGATTCTGTCACTAAGGCAGTCCATCAATTTAGACTTACTTCCCCTTTCCAAGGTTCAGTTAAAAGGGAGGTGGGGGCGGGGGGCAGCTGGTGTGGCTCAGTTGGTTGAGCATTATCCTATGCACCAAAAGGTCACAGGTTCAATTCCCTCTCTGGGCACATACCCAGGTTGCAGATTTGATCCCCAACTGGGATGCATACAGGAAGCAACCAGTCAATGTTTCTCTCTCACATGGATGTGTGTGTGTGTGTTTGTCTCTCTCTCTCCTTGCCTCTCTCTCTAAAATCAATAAAAACAAATTTAAAAGGGGCGGTGGGCTAAAAAAACGTTGTACTAGATGATCTGTAAGACCCCTTCCAGCTCCTACATACTACAACTCCTAAATCCAGAATATTGGAAAGGGGTGAGCACAGTAGACCTCCAGACTCCAAAGAACTAAGCAAACATCAGGAGACTCCTCAGGATCTGGCCTAGGAAATGCCCTGCATGATTTTTAGACACTCCTAACACCAAGATCAACTACATTTAAAAATTAGAACACTTGCCAAAATTAATTTTAGTTCTCTTTTACCCCTCTAAGCTTTATCTGAAAATAGTAGAAACAAAACCCTCTTTGAAGTCAGGGAGTTGAAGCAGTTGACTTAAGCCACTTCCTGCTCCCTCTCCCCCAATTAGGAGCTACACATCTAAACACCATGGAAGGTTTGGGGGGAGGAACATGCCATAAACAAAATAAAGAATGGATCTCACTGTTTATAATGACTTAAGCTTTCCTTGAGCCAAAAACCCAGGCAACGTCAGTGTGCTTGAGATCTGGACTCTCCTGCATCTATCAACTTCTAATGGGCAATATTAGCAAAAAATTCACAGTAACTTCCTTTCCCTTGGACCTCTAGTAGCACCAGAATGGAATTTCATCCACAGTCAAGTGGACACTGGCCCAGGCAGGAATCAGGGAAAACGGAGTTATATGTTTAATGGCATGACCCGAGGGTTAAGTCAAATCCCCTCTGCACAAAGAGATTACAGAGGCTCACCCTAATAAACAACAAGTACTAGCACCCCGGCTTTACACTTCTGTGGCTACTACTAATTGTGATTTGAAGCAAATTATTTAACCTCTCTGCGCCTTGATTTCTGCTAGTGTAAATGGGGATAACCCCATAAGGCCACCGTGAGCATTAACTGAAATAAGACTTATGAAGTTCCTGAGTCAAGTCTATTAAATTTACCTGTTGGTATTAAACACTTATCTCACATATTAGTTTTCCTCACTGCATCTACAATCACCCTTGGAGGCGACTTTCTATCTTTCCCCCATTTCACGGAGGGGCAAACTGAGGCTCGCCTGAGAAGGGGGGCGGCGTTACGTGCGGCCCAGCACCAGGGCCTGTGGTTGATCCTCTCCAAGCCCAAGGTGTGCAACCAGCCCAGGACCTGCATAAGTGGGAGCGGAGGAGGAGCTCAGGCCCGTATGGAGAGAGGCAGGACCAGTTTTGCCCGCAGATACAGCCCGGGAGGGAAAACCGAAAGAAGACCAAGGCCGGGGCCGGGCCCACCCGAGGCCTCCCCGCGAGGCCTCCAATTCCCCCTTCTTCCCTTGCGGGGCGGGGCACGAGCACAAAAGACTCCAACTTCCTAGCGGGCGCGGGCCCACCCCTCCAACTCCGGACCGAGGCCCGACCTGCGGGGAAGAAGCGGCCAGGGAATGCCAGTGCGGCCGGGAGCGGGCGTGGATGGGCCGGGCCGGCGACCCAGGGCGGCGGGCCCGGGGGGCGGGGGGCCAGGTTCTGGGGGAGGGGGCCAGGAGTTACTCTGGCTCGTGGGACTCCTAGAATGGCAGAAAAGAGTTTCTAAAAATAAGCAGCGGCCAGCGCGAAGATGTGGCCGACCCGAAAGGAACAAGGAACACACACATAACCCCCAGACACCCCTAAGGAGACGCCCGCGGCTCCCACTCACCCGCGCCGAGAGGTCTAGAGGAAGCCGCGCGGCGCGGAGGAAGGCGGTGTGGCCGCACTCGGGGACGGGAGGAAGAAGGCAGACCCGGCCACGGCGTGAGGAGCTGAGCACACGCACGGTGTCGCCCCACCGCCGCTACCACCCCCTCAGCTTCTCAGATCTACCCGCCCAGCTCCCGCACCACTCGCGCGCCCAGCCGCACTGACAGCGGCGCGAGCCCCGCAGCCGCGAGTCCTTCCCTCGGCCCGTACCACTGAGCGCGCGGGGGTGAGGGAACCCGAAGCGGCTTCCCTCGACTCGGCCCCGCCTGCCGCTCCAGCCCTGGCCCCGGGCTCGCCCCTCGCCCGCCTCCGACTCCAGGGAAGGACAAGGTGACACAAACTCGAGGAGTCCGCAGCCCCGCCCTGACACGGCCGGGCTTCCCAGGCGCGCGGGTTCTCCCCGCCGCCTCAGCTTGGCTTTGGAAAGGTCCAGCGCTTCTGTGGGGAGAGGAGGAAGGAGGGGCCCGACAGGGGGGAGGGACTGAGGGCGGGAAGAGAGCCTAGCTTACACCGGTATGGAGCGGGGACTGAGAGGGTGACGATGCCAGGAAAGAGAGGAGCACGAGGTAAGTATGGAAGACGGTGGAGGCCTCGCGGAGCAGGGAGCCAGGTCAGCGTTTGAAAGGAGGGGCTGTGGGTGGGGCTAAAGGGGGGCTGTGCCCAGAGGAGGAGTCAGAGGTGGAGGGAAGCTCGGACGGGGCTGGGTAAAAGGAAGCCCAGAAGGGAGAAAAGATTGAAGCGAGACAGGGTGGAAAGATTGAAGAGCCCCGAAGGGAGCAAAGGGCCCAAAGGTTGTTTCTCTGGAGAGGAGCCGAAGGAGGTGTAACCCAAAGGAGGATCGCTGGGTTGGAGCTGGGGTGGGTGGGACCTAGAGGTGGGGCCCAAAGAACTCCGCGGGGGGCGGTGCCCGAGGGATGCGAAGAGACCTAGTAGCAACAAGAGCCAGGTTTTCTCAGTTCTAGGAACCTGGCACTGAGGCGGGGAGAGGGTCGCTCCTCGGTGAGGGTGAGTCTGGGTAGAGGGTTGCCACTCTCACCTTAAAAAAAAAGAGTTAAATCAAGTATCTTTACTCTTCTGTGGTGCAGGAAATGTTTTATAACTTGATCGGGGTGTTGGTCCTCCCTCCTGAATATTTCTCCTGTCGGAAACCCTCACCTAAATCAGTGTTCCAGACTCCCCCGCAGAGGGGTCTTCCAAGAGCACCCGAGGACCGTTGCTCGTCAGTCCTAAGCTGTAGACTTCCCTGAAGTCTTGGAATTATCCAGATTCTCCATTCGTCGTCCGACGTGTGACATCGTAATTGTATTTTTTGCACGGCTTCCCCCAGAACCTGCCTAAGAGCCCGGATTCCCGAGAGCCTGGCTTGAATCGCACCTTGGCCGTCAGAACAGCAGTTATAGCTCTACTTGTGTTGTTTGTGGACCTCCGTGTCTCACTTCAAAAGGAAAAGAAACTAGATTAAAGAGACGGTGACACTGAGAACAAAGCCAGGAGCGTTCTTCCCCCACTTCTTCTAACTTCTGATTCCTTATGCCTCAGGTCTTTCTGCCTAAATATCACCTCCTGGAAGAGGCTTTCCCTAAACACCATGAAGGGCTGGCTTGATTTCCTAGGCTTCTAGCAGGTGACAGAGTTCTGGCCAATGATATGCAAGTGGAGTTGCTTAGTTCCTTAACCAAAAAAGTTTTTTTAAAGAGACAGACTCAACTGGCGTTAATCAGCCTTTTGCACTTACCCCTGTGTGCTGCCTGGAACAGAGATGTGATGCACAAAGACATAGCAGCCATCTTGAAATCTTGAGAACAAATACCAGATTGACTTGATAAGAATGGTACAGAAGAAAGACAGAAAGAGCCTGGAGTCCTTCAGATTTCTTGTGTGAGATAAAACCTCATATATTTGTGCCACTGTTGCTTTTGGTTTTTGCTTCTTGCTTTCAAGTGTATTTCTGACTCATAGCATAAAATCTGGTTTGTTGTAGTACTCAATAAATATTAGCTATTGTTATTTTACCTATATTACTTGTCATCATCATAACTACCCTATGCTGTGGGTATTAGTACCCTAAGTTTAGAAGTGGAGAATGTCAGACTTCCAGAGTAGGTTGTAAAGTTTCAATGAGATGAATAGCCATAATAATAGCCAATACTTATTGGCACTTACTATGTTCCTGGCACAATTCTAAGTGTTTCACTTATATTAATTCACTTATTCCTTACAGAAACCCTGGAAGAAAATGCTATTATTACTCCCACTTAACAGAATGAGGAAACTGAACATCAGAGAGGTGAAGTGACTTGTTCAATGTCATACAGTTAACAAGCAGCAGATCCAGGATTCAAACTCATTAGTCTTAGAACAGTGCCTGGCATCTGGGGATGTGTGTATGTGTGTTTTAATTAGAAAAAAGAGTGCAGCTCATAGTTGTTAAGTGACTTAGCTAAAGCCACGCAGCCAGGAAGATGAATTTGAATCCAAAATTTGGACCCAGGTCTGGCTGACTCCAGACCCACATCATTAAGGGAATCCCTGTGGGTAAAGAGGTATGTGGCCTGTTGTGTTGAAGAGTCACATATGTTTGTACTGTGAGGAGAGGCTATGCAGAGAGAAAAGCCTAGAGCCATCCTCAAGGCTGCTATGTCATCCAGATGAAGAATCTGAGGCTCAAAGAGGGAACACATCTCACACAAGGTCATCCAACTAGAAGGAGGCATTGCTGAGCCTAGGAGCCAGCTCTATTCCATGACTGTGGGGACATAAGGGGTCGGAGAAATGCTGTTCATCCCTGATCATAATGAGCCTTAGAGACAGCAATGAGTCAAGTGGAAGTGAGGGACAACCCAGCCATTATACTAATTAAGAGGGCATTAAATTAAAGGGACACTTGTAGCCCTTCAGTTACCAGCCAGTGTTCTGACAGCTTCACCATTCTCTACAAGTCCAGCAGGGCTTGCACAGGGCACAGAGAGCAGCCTCTCAACACCCTGGCTCTCTACTAAAGCACTTAACTGTCCAAGAGAAAATAACAGCACTCCTGCCCAGCTTTGGGTGAAGCTGCAATAAGCTAATTGAAGTTAAATGGTTTGGATCTGGGAAGGGAAAGGGCCACTAGTAGGAAAATACAGGGCAACACATACTTATTCAGCATCTCTCTGTGCCCACCATAGTGCTGTGAGCTACAAATATAGCAACAATCAAAACAGGTAAAGGCCCTGTCATTGTGGAGATTATACTTGTGATAAGATTGAAATCTACTCTCCACAACTCATAGGCACAAAAAAAGTATAGATTCTTTATTTTTTATAATTGACAATTTTTTTCTTGTGCCTCCCTTATCTATTATTGAGAAAAATATAAACCTAATTATTACTATTTTTTAATCCTCACCGAGGATATTTTTCTATTTATCTTCAGATAGAGTTGGGGGCGGGGAGAGAGAGAAATATCGACATGAGAGACACATCAACTGGTTGCCTCCCACACGACTCCAACCAAGGCCAGGGATGAACCGCAACTGAGGTACGTGTCCTTGACTGGAATTGAACCCACAACTTACTGGTCTGCGGACCAATGCTCTAATCACTGAGCCAAACCGGCCAGGGCTAAAACTAGGTGTTAACAGTAACTTAACCTCCTCTGGTTTAAATAGGTATGCCTGTACTTATCTCACTTAGATAAGTACAGACATACCTTTTTTTATTGCACTTCACTTTATTGTACTTCACAGATGTATTTTCATCAACACTGAGGCAGGATCCTTTACCAGTGACAAAAACTACAACTCGCTGAAGGCTCAGATGATTGCTAGCATTTTTTAGCAATAGAGTATTTTTTTTTCATATGTTTTTACTGAGGTCTGGCCAGTGTGGCTCAGTTGGTTGAGCGTCATCCTATGCACTGAGAGAGAGGTCACAGGTTTGATTCCTGACGAGGGTACATGCCTGGGTTTTGGAGTTGGTCCCCAGTAGGGGTCGTGCAGGAGTCAGGTGATGATTGATGTTCACAATGATGTTTTGCTCCCTTTCCCTTCTTCTTTCTCTAAAACCAATAAAAACTTCTTCTTTTTTTTTTTTTTTTATCTTTCTGTGCCCTCCCTCTACCAAAGATGGTTTCTGGTTTCTGGATGTCAGCCAGTTAACACACGAATCTTTGTGCTATCCTCTGTTACCTACCAAGGCTGGGGACAGCACGTGTACCCAAATATAGACCACCCTCCCCTCCCCACTGAATCAATAGTAGGGTGGGGAAGCACACAGGAGCACACTTGGGTCATGGACTAGACAAGGCAAAAGTACTGGCAACGTAATGCTCCCAGAAATATCCTTCAACCAATAACCAATGGATAGTTGATGGTGACCCCAGTGTCCTCACCCCTTATATGGGATAACTGAGGGGTGTTCTTAATTGCTTCATAGAGTTCCTTACTGAGATTAGGTTCCATTTGTCCATGGTAGTAAATTACCTGATCACAGACCGTTTATTGGCAACTTTTCTTTCCCTACCTCACTCTCCACTCAGCCAGTGGTGTTTCCTGGGACCATCCCTCAAATAAACTAGTTGATCTCAAATTCTAGCCCCAAGGTCTGTATTTGAGGAAACCTTAAACCATCATACATTTAATACTTTTTAGCCCTGGCTGGTGTGGCTCAGTGGTTAAAGTGTCGGCCCACGCACAGAAGGGTTATGGGTTTGATTCCCAGTCAAGGGCATTATAGCTGGGTTTCAGGTTGGATCCCCGGTGCAGGAGGCAACCAATCAATGTGTCTTTCTCACATTGATGTTTCTCTCTCTCCCCCTCCCTCCCTCCCTTCCACTCTCTAAAAATCAATGGAAAAAATATCCATAGGTGAGGATTAACAAAAATAACAATAATATTTTTTCAATATAATATCCATTATGTATTCTACTGGGGGTTAATAGACAAAATATATATATATATATGTAAGAAGCCCCTTTATTCATGTTATCAAGGCAGGTAATTGAACAGTGCATCAAAAATATTAGTTCAAATGTGGTTAATCATATGATACATACATACCTTAAACATTTTTGTTTAACTTAAAATAAATAAATGTACAGTTAGTTGCCAATCTTTTGACAGAATGTCGATCTTCAAAAAATTCCATGTTGC